TTGCTTGATGTTGTATTGTCTTGGTCACTTACGAGAGTTTAGGGGTTAAGGATCATCGTTTGTACATGAATGCACCAGCTGATCATTCTTACTGTAATTGCTTCCTGAAGTAATCTCAAAATTCAGTGTCCACTGAATCAAAAGAATCCTTAACCCCAGCTTGTAACCATCAAAAGAGCACAAAGGTTCTACAACATAACCAAAGTAGCCTTCACTGAAAAAAATCATCAGTCATAATTCTCACTTCTGGTCTGGAGTTGCATTCTTGGATTCCATTTTCCTCCTGACCTCTGCTTGTCGTTGCTGTTGTATTTCTTCATGCTGTGTCTGCAGCTTCCTTGCAGCACTTCTTCGTTCCTCAACCTGCCTTTCCTCTTCTTCCTTCTTTCGCCTTTGCTCAGCTTCAATTTGTAAGAATTCCTGATTGAAATAAATAAATTATAATTGTGATGGGTGACCCAGCAGTTCATGTGGTGGTGCACTTATACAAACAGAAATAAATGTTTCAAAATTTATGAAACTGGGGAAGAAAAATTAAAACCCAGTTGTAATTTTCCTCAAAAAGTGGTTGATGATAATTCAGAATTGGAAGTTATACTTAAATTTTATTTTTGTGTTGTAAAGAGCTATAACAAACATCATCATCATCATCAAACATAAGTGCCCTCTCTCTAATAGGCGCCCCCTCATATTTGTTTCTGTTGATAATTGCCCCTATTCTAATAAGCTCCCCTACAGAGTAAGCACCATCAATCCAAAAGTGTCCCTATACCAATAAGCATCCCTATTCCAATAAATGCCCCTATTCTTTTTCAGTAATAGCACAGTTGGAGTACATGTACACTGAGATCAATCATGGTCCATCTTCCTTTAATTGCTCACTTAAAGCCTGACAATGAAAAAGTCATCTTCGTCTCAGTCTCTTAACTATCATATCACCCTGAGTGCACAGTTCCTTCAAACCAAAGATCTCGTCATAAAATTTTATGATGATTGCTTAACTACTCATTCTAGCAAGGAAGGATGCAGGGAAAACAAGTCCATTTTTTCAGTCTTTTTCATCCTCTTTCAAATAGACATCAACACTTTGTTTCACATTCTGCTGTTTCTCAAAGAAAAATATGAGCCATGTCCCGAATATTTGCCCTGTTTCAATAGTGCCCTCCAATGAGGTACCAAAATTAAATCCCCAGATGCTAAATCAAAATCATTGCAGTAGGTTTGTGAACAAACTGGGCTGATAGATTTGTGTAACACCAGTTGAAGGAAACGGATTAATAGTTAAATGATTGGCAAAGCTGTAAAACTAGGCTGGGCCTCTCAGTTCCAAATTAGCTCATCCCTGTTTTGAACAACTTGACCCAGAATCTGACATAACTTGGCCACTGAAACTAACTCAAAAACAAGCCACCCAAAATAAGAGAATATTTCAGGGTAAAGTTATTCAGGGGATAAATGCTAATTTTAATTTCAATGTTGACTTCAAACAAATGTATGAAGTTAATTAACCCTTTAGCTCACTGATCAATTTGGAATTCTCTTTACTGTCCACAATACATTTCTTATGATGTAAGTTCAGAGAATTTAGTTTTGGATCAACTTATTATCCTCAAATTGATATTTTTTAATTCTCATTTCTTATCTGGTTGATATTATACCCAAGTTGTAAGGAAAAATTCTGTCTTGGTCACTTATGGGAGTTAAAGGATTAACGGCTTTTTAAAAAAAAATCACAGGGTGTGTACTTTGACTCCCAAGATCTGATTTTTAATTCTCCCCTCCAGTTGCTAGACATTTACTTGTTTATTAGTTACAAGAATTTGGTGATAAATCAAGATAACAACTTCTCCCGGATGAGTTTGAGTATTAATGTTACCTGTTTGCTGGATAATGTATCGATTTTATTGGGAGAAGTTACATCTTAATCAGTTCTAAGAGTTAAGGGCTCATCTAAGGTAAGATTCTACAAACATCATCTCAAATAGGATTTTAAAAAACCTCCTGTGGTAAGATCTTATGTAAAATTACCCTGCTAGTCTACAGAAGTTATCAGCAATTTTAAGTGGAAAAAAAAAAACCAGGTGTTTGAATGATGTTCCTATTGAATGTTCCTTGAAGTTAAATCAAGAAAGTGTTATAGTAATCATACTGTAACTCAAATCCTAACAATTACTGGAAAGACTTTTTCATATTCTTCATTAGCAGAGATAAAATACAAAACATCAGTCAATAAAACATTTGATTATCAATTTATCTTTTACTTTTGAATTCTACAACAGCATTTACTGATTACACCCCCTTCTATTAACCTCACTCTAAAACAGCCTCGCGGTGATCTCTCTTGTTTTCTGTACAAACATCTCTACAAATGGCAGCTACAGAAGCCTGAAGTTTCAGCATGTAATTTAAATCTTCCTTTCACTCCAAATACAAACTTAAAGTTTCTTTCCAAAAAAAATCGTTGTTGTTCATTTTTTCATGAATACAAGGTGAAGAAAAAACTCGTCTTGTTGTGACATCAACCAATGTCATGCACAAACATCTAAATCTTGCAAAATAATTTTCATCAAATATAATAACTTTGCAAAATATACAACTTAACATGACACATATAATTTTTTTGCCTTTGATTAATTTCTTACTTATAACTTAATAGCTCTATTCTGTATTATAATCAAAAGAAAAATATTTTTTCCTTATCTTCAAATAAATTACAGTACAGCTAAATGTAATAAATTAATTAGTTTATAATATTTACCATACAAGTTCTTAAATAACAATAATGAATACATTAATGAAAACACAACCTTTAAATTCTATACATTGGTGATTATCTACTATAGTTTTAATACAAATATTTCCAGAGGAAAGGCAGAAAGAAAAATATTGACTACAAATTTCAAGGAAAGTTTTTAAGTTAATAAAAATAGTTACTATAAGAATTAAATGTTAGATTTTAGAGATCCAGAGTGTTAAACTCTTAAAATACATTTTTTTCTGATTATCCTTGAAAGAAAACATACCCTATGTTAAATAAAGAAACAGAAAAAAAAGAGATAAAACAGGGTAGAAATTCCTTGATGGTATGTACTTGAGGAGCCTTCGTCTAAACAGTTTACTTCTTGTCCCAAAGCCTTTTATAGATCAATCTATCATATCAAACTCAAACAACAGTGAACACTAAAAACATATCTCTGGCAAAATATTTTTTTCAAGAACAAGAACATCCAAAGTGAGAAAAGGTGAAAGGTTAAGCTTGTACTGGAGCATAGTAGCCCTCCTAGCCCAAGACTATCCTGTTTTCCTTCATATGAAGTGACTAGATGCATCATCATTCCCCTCTGGATGGGGCGTCAGTCCATCACAAAGTTACCCCCTCCCCCCCTTAAGCAATTGTTACTACTGGGTGGAGAGAGAGAGAGACACTGTGAGAGTTAAACGTTTTGCCCATGAATTGACCAGGACAGGTCTTAAATGTGCACCTCTCAACCCGGGGTCCAGCTCACTAACCACAATGCCATGATGTCTTCCACATCAAAAATGTAACTAACAAGCCAGGTAATTAGTTTTTCATTTTTCATATTTGTCTTTTGCACGTGTGTGCTGACATTCAATGTGCTTGTTAATAACAAAATATTCCAAAAAACATATCAAGTGTTCACTGTTGCTAAGTTTGATCATAACTTTTTACTTCATCAATTGCTTAGCATGCACTGTAATTAAATTAAATTATATTATATATCAATAATTTATTTATTAATCATATGATATGTTCTCTTTTAAGTTATGTCAGATGATAGTTGAGTAATCCTCAAATTGAAATCTAGCATTGTAAAAAGATATACAAAACCTACTCACAAAAAGATAAGTCCTTCATCAAAAAATTGTACCTTAATTTCAAGGTTTCCCAATGGTAAATACAATATCTGCAGAATTCTCTGTTAATTAATATCATAGAGGATGCAGCTTAGCTACATACTAAGAGTACTAGATTTGCCATCTCATATTTGCTGGTTCAAGCCATCAACTTCACTACTCACTGCATTAGTTCTCTGTTGACCCTCATTCAAGTCATTCAAATTGTCAATTGCCAATTGGTTTGGGTCCAGCCAAATCCAATTTTTTGGTGGTTTTAAGGTTAGTTAGAATATCTTTTTAACTGTCTCAGACAAGTGTTAAAATAAAATTGGGGAGTGGCTAACAACATTGACACTTATTTACATTCTTTTGCAAAAAACACTTCAAAAGATGAAATCGATATTTAAGCTATGCTACAGTGTGACATGTAATCTTGAATAAATTAGTTTAACCTCCTAATTCAGTTTTACCAAATCCAATAAATCAAAAAATGTAACTTTCACTCAACTCAAGAATGTCTGTTCCACATTCAAAGGTCACTGAATGTGGAATACAAAACTATAAAGAAGTCAATTAGGGGAACAAAGTTCACTTTAAACTTGAAGTAATTTTTAAACATGATATCAGTTATCACATTGATTATCTTCAAAACACTGTGGCACACAAAATGTTGATGATTCTTGTCACCCTTATTGCTGTTAGTTGAGTTAAAATGTTTCAAGTATTCTTTTCAAACTTGTTAAGGAATGGCAGATGAAGAGATTAATTACATGAGAACAGCATTAATCCAAATTCCTGATAGAGCTTCTAAGTTCACATGCAGGTACATCTAGTATTGCTCACTATAAATACGGTCTACATAAATACTGGTTTTCATTGCTAATTTCAGCTGTGCTGTCAACTTTTTGCAAGGTGTTAAGTTTTGCATTTCAAATGCTGTATTCTAAATATCAACAACTAACTCTAATTTATTTTATCACATCTCAAAAGATTGCAATAGACAAAGTTTTATGCTACAGAGAAAAACACCACTGCCTTTTACCATAATTATTTGAAAACCCATAAAATAGCCAGGCAAAGCAAGGCCACAAAAACAGACAAAAAAACCGTCCCAGGATTGAGAAAAGCATACAGCAAAACAGCAAGCAAAGGCCACAAGGTTTCGCTGTGGAAGATTCTCTGGAGAGAAGCTTGCAGTGGTGGCCATGCTTTAATCTGAAAGAAAATGAAAGGCAAAAGTTACTGCATGAGCCAACAATACAGGATTTTACTTCATGGAAATAAGTGGTCACATGATTCACCTTAGTTCCAGAAAGTAAATAAATGCATTGTTAATGGCCACACAGAAACTGTTGTCTTTGATTTTCATTTCAGCTTTGCCAATTGAAAATAGTCTTTTTTTAAAATTTATTTTGACATGTATTAGAAGAATTTTATTTTATAGCTGCAGTTATTGATTTGTTAAAAGCCGAAAAGGTGAGTATGTGTGACAATTAACTATTAATTATAGATCAATTAAAAATTAACTATTAGTGCAATTTAAAGTAATCAAACTGTATTATAAGCATTTGAGAAGCATATACTTCCTTACCAAGTAATAAAGCAGACCAAAAAATATCCTGTAGAGGTGAAATTCTGCAGCACATGTTTAATGATTTTTTATACAGACTCCATTTATCATTCATTGCAACAATTAATACATTTCATATTATTTCATTGCTTAGCCACCACTCAACGTCATAAGAAATGAAGTTTACAGCTTTGTTGTAAAAACTTTATGGAAGCTCAAGTTACTCTTAGTAGCCACAGAAAATAAAAAGGTTAATCATCATAAACCCAAGTTAGCATGACTTGCATGGGTCGAAACATGAAAAGTTACTTTTTAACATTTATTCTTCTGGTTAAAAGGAGACACCCCTGCAAATACATACTCAGAAATAATCAAATCCAGTTCAATGAACTAGCTAACACAAGTTTCCTACAGTATAACTCTCCTGGTAAAAAAACTCAAAGTACTAATTTAAAGGTCCTTGGTTCATATTTCCTGATGGAAAATTCCAAGTTGGAAAACTAAATACAGACAACACAGTTTTCAAGAGAGAAATTCGACATCTTTTCATCGGCCTCTACACCATCCTTGATGTTTACAGGGGTACACTAACACTATGCAAGTTCTTTTATCTGTTTATTTCCGAGGCAAGCATGTTGATTTGACTTATTCAAGTAAGGGGTTCATTTATTCATTTGTAATAATTTCACAAAGCACAATTATGGCATACTTGATCACTAGAGCCCAATTTTTTCCTTTTGAAATAAATTAGCTGCAAAATTTCACACATAAATGTAAATATTGCAGTGTAAATGAATTCAGGTCAAATTGAGTTTAAAAAGGTTTTTAATGTTCTTTCCTATGTTCCTCATAACTCATCATAGTTCTTATAAGTAAAATACAAATCTACCCAGTTCAACATCACCTTCACCTGAATTTTAATTTGACTGCAACATAAAAGTTGTAGTTTAAATTTGTTTCAGGTGAATATAACTTCACACCAGAATGATCAGCACTATTCTTTGTTTTTAAAAGTATAATGGCAATGTAGCTTGAACAAGGGAAAAAACCATTTTTCAATTATTTCCATGTGAAATTCATTTTAAGTGACAACATATACCTAATTTTTCAACTGATCAATATGACCCACACACATTTCCAGTAGGAGGACTAAAGGTAGTGGCATGAGCAAGGATTTTGATAAAAGCCAGTTACTGGTGGTCTACAGCCACCTATAAGACCTTCCATTGCCTGCATACAGGCTCTTGTGTTTGAGTTTGGGCTAACAACACAGCTGCTTTGGCACCATCAGCAGCCACTTACATCAAAAGTTACTAAGCCCCTGTATGAGTGGGGCCACAAAACTCTGCTTGGCCCTATATACACCCTGCAAGATCCACAATGCAGGCAGAAAAGAAGGAGGCCAAAGAGTGGCAGTAAAATAATAAAATGAAGAGGCAGCAAGGGTGCTGGACTTGGAACCTTGTGGTCCCAGGTTCAAGTCCCCCACCCTGCCATTGACTGGATTTGTTCTGGGTTGCCCTGAGTTCAACTCCTCGACTGTGCTGTGTAAATAGCCAACTGGTCTGCCACCCACCAGTTGGGATTTTCAAGCACTTTATGTTTATTTCAGTCATTGTAAAGTGCTGCTAGATAGCAATAGAAAAAGCTCTATATAAATAAAGTATTATTATTATTATTATCAAAATGTTTATTGACTGAGTCACAGAAAATATTTGGCCCAACTTGATTCAGTCAATAAGTACAAAATATTGGTCACAAATCAACATAAAAGTAGTTGTAAAAAGCAAACCTTCAGAAGTTCCTCTCCTTCATTATACTCCTCATCTGGTTTTGACTGCACTTCATCATCTTCCACTTCATGGGCATCTGCAAGTAGCTGTTGTGCTCTTTCTATCTCTTTCTGAATCTCCCGTCTCTTCTCCTCTGTTTCAAACACATTAGACAATGGGGGCCTTGTTCTCTCTCTTTCTCGTAATGAGCTTGGTCGATAAACCTCTTTCTCGTAAGTCTACAACAACAAAACAAAACAAATGAATGGAAAAGCCACGTAACAATTATTTAGGAAATGTTTTTGTCAGGAGGAAAATGACTTTTATTCTCAGGAGAATACAAAATACAAGTTTTGCAAGATAGAAAAACTCAGAAGGGATAACACTCAACAGAGAAATGACAAAGATGGAAGAGATTAAATTGATTGAAAGTAGTTATTCAAGAGACAAAACATGCAAAACAAAGCCAACATGGGCTGTGTGTAACTAAATGTAGAGGTAAGTCTTTTGACCCCTACAAGGGACTAGCATCTAATTTCTCATTACAATATCACCCCTAAATCAGTTTTTTAGGTCACAAGAATAAAGGAAATGATCACCAACTAAAGAAGCTCTTGACTGTTAAACAAGTTTGCCTTATCAACACTTTAGAAAATATATAGGGAAAAGTACAAGGAATATGCAGAGTGATGTTAGGGCATAAAATGCTAAATGCATTACTTACTTCTCTTGCAGCTGCATTTCTTGCTAAATCTAAGGAATGTGTTCTTCTTACTCTGTCAATCATTAGATGGTTTTCAGGAGCATCCTCACTGCATGAAGAATCCACAAAGAAAACAGTAAACATTCCTTTTGAAATCTTAAGTTCATTCACTATTTAAAATTTTTGTCATGTGTGATGAAAACCTTTCAAAGGCAAAATCAAGGTCAGCTCAACTGAAACTTGGTTTGTTTCTGTTAGAAAAAAAAAGCATGTGAATGTTCTAAGATAGTTGAAAGTCAAACCTTGATGATCGCGGAAAAGAGTATTTTCTAACAACATCTCTGTCAAATGTTCTTCTCTGTGGAAAGATACTAAGAATCAGTAGTTGCCGAATTTTATAAAATTGTCAAGTTAATTTGAACCATGAATGGATTTCTGGAATAAAAACTGCTTAAAACACTGAGACTCTTATAAAAGCACAACTCTGTGATATAATCACAATGATTTTTTTTAATCTTTACTTTTACCATTGCACAAAATTTCTAGCTTAAGTTTTTCATTTTTTGTTGAATAAATAAAGAAGATGACTAGAAAAATAAACTAACATTGTAAGAAATGTTTTAAAATTACACAGATATTTATTGTACTTACAAAAGGTTCCTTTACCTTACAAACTTAAAAACTGACACCAACCTAACTTTTCAAGACAATATTTTGAAATTTCAAGAACCAATTTCTTAGAAAAATTCCAAACAATTTATAAAATATTCTGACTTAAACAGGCTTCCTAGGGGTAATCATTTTCATAATCCAAGCCACTTTCCTGGGATCATAAAAAAGCCAAATCTGAGTCACATTTTACTTATGCTGATTGTATTATAAGAGCTTCAGACTGTTATTTGAGGTTTGGAAAGATTACTCAATCAGAATTGAAGAGACTCTGAAAGACGAAATCATATGAGAGAATTTCAAGGACTTTCAAAGCCTTGTAAATGGACCCTTAAATATCAATGTCTTTCACTAGTTTCCAAGATGCTTACAAACCCCATACTGTATATGCACTTGCACTGAGCAATATTAGCACACTCTCACAAATCACCTTCTCTTGTTCATGAGCAGTTGCGCTGAGGTACTTGAAAATATGTAACTTCCCTTTTGTGCAGACCTAGAGTAAAGAGAACACTAACTCATTTACCCTTTGACCATTAAGAATGACTAGCATCTAATTTCTCCTAACAATATCACTCTTGAATCAAACATTAAGGTCATGAGAATGAAGGAAATGATCACCAACTAAAAAAGCTCTTATGAAAAATATAAAGAACCATTGAGAGGATGTGTATACTGATGTTAGGGTGCAAAGTGTTGAGGATTACATTGCAAAGAAAATAATGGAAAGGAACCAAGTATTGATTCTGATAACATTTGAACCCATTACTACTGGATTCAATAGAGTGACACATCCAGTAAGTTACATATACACAGCAAGGTGGGAGATGGTTCACACACCTGAGCAGGGGGAGAAGTCAGTGGATTGTGCGCAAGTTCCAGCACCGATAAACTGGTGATAAGCCGGTAAGCAGGAGGAATCACGGACACTTTGTTATAAGAAAAATCTAATCGAACCAATTTTAATTTACTAAGTTCTGCAAAAGGAAGGAACACACAACAAATTAATCAAACAACAAAGATGAAAGATATCACAAGACTAAGTTATGGGAAAATTATCAAACTCTTTATCCATTGAAAATTTCTGATGGAAAATGAAAGTTGAGCCAAACTTGAAAAGAAAAAAAAAAAAATAAAAATGAACCTTGTACCCCTGTTGAATTAAGAGAGCAAGATTTGATTGTTCAACTTACCATCTGGTAAAACTTCTAAACGATTCCTTCGAATGTTTAAATCCTTTAAAGATAACATCTCTCCCATACTACTTGGTAGGTGTACTAATTCATTTGAACTTAAATCCTGCAATGAAAGAAAAGACCAAAGCATGTGGTTAACTTCTTGCAAGAAATTTTGCTCAATTTTGACAAAGCATTTTCTGGGAGAACACAAAATTGAGCCCAGTCTTTGTGTCCTTTGAACTTCATGCCATAATGTATGGAATCAAAATTAAAGAAAAAAATTTGGCACTTTGGTCCTTACAGACATATCACATTGCTTAAAACAACACACAAACAAGTTGAAGTTTCCACATTTTGTCTTTGAACTAACTGAATACATCTTATAACTTGTAGCAAGATAGAATTCTGTAACCACATTATTGCAGTTGCTGTGCTCCGAACAAAATCTCTGAATTTACACTTTTGATCACTGTCCACATGGGTAGTCTAACCAAAAATCATTTTTAGTTTGTTGTGATGCATAAAAAGAGAATTGGAGAAAACTTAACTATTTCCTAAACCCTTTTCATGGGCAAAAAATAAAAGAAAACTTTTTTCTGACGGGAAGTCGAGAGGACCACTCTTAGCAAGAGCAGCACTTAATATTGCATCATTAATTGGGAAGGTGGTGTTTGATTTCCAGATCCATCACAGAGCATTAAGAACAAAAACCACAGAATGCGTTACCAGGTTACTTTCAACCCCCAATTCAAATTGTCTTATAAGTAGGAGTCAATAAGAACCAGGAGTTCACCCCTTATATCTACATTTGATTGGTTAGCAGTGATTTCTAGAGCACATCCCAGAGTATTGTGAATCAAAATCACGGCAATCCCAGATTTTTGGACAGTTATTAAAACAGGGTGCAAGACAGCGTATAGATTTACATGAACTGTAATTTAGATAGCTTTGCAATACCAAAGACTTGAATTCTCAAGTTAATATCATCCTACATCTTGGGCTTAACCCTTTCACTCCCAGATCAAATTTGTCATTCTCCTGCCAGTTAACTTTATAATTCTTATTATGTTAGTTCAGAGAATTTAATATTGGATCAACTTATTATTGAAATTGATATTTTTCTTTATTCTCATTTCTTATCTGGTTGATATTGTATTGATATTGTAAGGAGAAATTCTGTCTTGGTCACTTGTGGGAGTTAAAGGGTTAATGAAAGCACTGATGGAAAGTAACAATACAGCTTGTTGATGCATGCTGCAATTAAATATGTAAGCTTATTGGATTAGGTCTCTGAGTTATCTAGAGTATTTTGTTCACCAAGGTTACTAGATTATAAAATTACTTACCAAATCTTGCAATAAAGTTAAGTGTCCAATTTCAACAGGCAAAGAAGTAAGCTTGTTGTTGCTTAAGTTCAAGACTTGTAGAGGCAAGGAGCAGAGCTCTGAGGGGAAAGTGGTGATCTGATTCCGTCTGTGAACAAACAATGTACCATAATCACAATCACAAACCTCTCCATAGATAAATACTAAATAATTAAAACTCAAATCTTGCTTGAAATTTTCTTTTATTAGTCTCTTCGTGCAAAAAAACTCTTATAGTGACTTAACATTTGGTTTAATTAACATGAAGTAGGATGTTCAAGGATGAGGTGTTAGCGATGAGAGATTCTCCAGTTACTTTGCACAATACTTCCGCTAAATTTCAGTCACCTTTTTTACTCAGATGTGGAGAATATTCTACTTCTACCCTTAACCACATTTCTGAATTAAAAGCTTTTTTTCAAAATCCTAGCGCGAGGAACGCGATTCAAGAAACAATTGTTAGCGAGCCACTGGCCGAAGGAAAATTTGCTTTTCATTTTCACATAAACGTATCAGCTGCAATCCAATTACAGATCATTCACACTCGCCGTCCTTCGACATCTTCATTCGCACCGATTAATCAACATTAAAGGTAAACAAACACACATCGCATTGTTCTCCAAATCGTACAAAAATGTTGTAAATGTCAACGTACTTTATATCACCATAAATACATATCAAAGAATGGACGAAAATTAAAATTAAGAAGCCAAGCATTGTTAATAAAGGGATCAAAACCTCCTGCAAGCATTAGCAAATAACAGCTTGATAAATTATTTGCTGATCATTACGAGCATCTGCAGTTATGATTTCAAGTTTCGTTCGGATCATATCATCTGATAACAAATTGAGAGACATGTTGAAACCGCACCATCAGCATTACCTCAAGTTTAGGACACGGAGAAATTTCAGTTCACTCATTTGCGATTCTGGAACTCCCCGTATCGTATTGTGATATAAATCCACTCTTTCAATCATAAGAAAATCGCACAGCTCTGCAGGGAATTCGGACAGTTTATTTCTTGACAAGTCTGCAAGATAAAAGAACAGTGATTAAAATGCAAGCAGTCAAAAATAGGGTCCAGTTGTGAACGAGAAATCGTGTACTTTTTTTGGTAACGCAATGACAATATTTGCAGCTTATAAAGCTTACAGAAAGCTCACCTATTTCGATTACATCGATCAACTCGCAATCGTCTGTCGGATCTGGGAAATCGCGAAGATTTTTCTGGCTCAAATTGAGCCTTCCCGTCTCCTCTGCCTCTTTGAAGCATCTCTCTAGTGGTATATTTCCCGACATGGTCGGGTTTACATGTTAAAGGGAAGATGCTTGAACTTTAAGTCGACACCTCTTCCACCGAGTCAGCGACATCTTGGAAATCTCTCGGCCTCGTGATTGCACGGCGCATGACTAGGACATATTTCCCGTGAGCCTTTGAGGTATTTGGGGTCAAGGTTTCGAGACAATCTCATTTGCGCTTTCATTTTACTTACAGTTGTAAATGTGACTCGAATTAATACCCCAAAACTTATAGGAACCCTCATGAAGACTTGAATTTTATTATTATTAAGAACTCAGATATCTAAGAGCTCAGATATATGAATTTTATTCTTCATCTTTCTTATGTAAACACTACTATCTAACCGAAAGCAAACTAATTTTGCCTCTTAAAGTCTTCCGACATGGTGCATAAACCTTCTGAAGTCTCTGAAGGGAAACTCACAATTAGATGAAAGTAACTCTTTCCTTATTCGAAAATAACGATTTTCTGCTCATCATATAGAGAAACATATGCGTCGGCGTTGATAGGTAAATAGTCGAAGGCAAGGATTGTCAGGATTGGCCAAATTCACCGAAAATTTAGCTTGAATGATACCTTTGGTAACCTCTCTTTCTCTAACATTCATTTGAGTTGAAAAGGCATTCCCTTGGAAAGCGTGCCTGATTTTACACCTGGTAGGCTCGGCTCCGTCCGAAACGGTTCGTAAAATGATAACCTTTAGGACGACACATACCGTTTTATATAACAACATCCATATCAAGAGCGCTCTGATTGGTCAAAAACTTTCGTTTATTGAACCGGTAAACCCATAGGAAAAATAGGAAACATTCTGTGTCAGGAGGAATCTTGACTGTCAGTTTTGTTTCAACTTATTTTGTAAAAGCAATACACTGCACCTTCTATCGGTTTACCGTCGTAATAACCTATTTGGGATGTCCAGAAAACACGAGGAAGGTTCGTAAATCACTCGCCTCCGGCTTGTGACCAGTAAACGTTTCTCGTGTCTCTCCCCCCCCCGCGGGAGTTATTGCACCGGTCGCGAGACGCGTTTAGACCTCCGGTTTGACATCTCGCGTTCTCCCAACATCCCGTGAGCCCTGGTATAATGATAAGTCCCTAAAAGTGGTCCTGTAGGGACTGCGGAGCCTTTCGCGAGGAAAGTATTCTACGTAAGACGGATAAAAAAAGGAAATTACAAAAATTCGGTTCACCACAGATTATCCCTCGAGGTCGGGAAGGTTTGCCCCAGACCTCCCTCCCAATTCCGACTCTCGCCTTCTCATGCAAGGATACTTATGGAATGCAACGACGTTAAAATGAGTTTAATATAATTATGCCGTAATAAACATCTCTCTGAATAAGGAAAAATAAACTGTAAACAATAAAATTCATAATTTCAAGACGGCTTAAAATAATTTCACTTCATTTATATATATATATATATGCCTTCAGGTGTTCCTTTAGGCAATAATTTTTGCGATCTCCCCAAATTACATCACCCACTCTTTCTCCTTCGCGTTGCATGAAAAATCTAAAAAAAAAGAGAATGTGCTATTTCATCTACATTACTAGCTAATATTTCCAACAATTGAATCTAATTCCCCTAATCTACATACATGCATGTATTGCTTACAATATGTTAGTTAAGAGAATGTAATTTAGTACCAGAAGAATATCTTTTCGTGCTCAGGTGTTTCATTCTCCTGACCTGCATGCATATATTTCTTCATATGAACTATTGAGAAACTAGAAGTCTACCGTTGACATTCAGTAAAGTAGGCGGTGAGGCTTATTATTCTATTCTTCTTGCAGAAGTCTTTTTACAATGTTTATCATGGATCCCTCACCAAGGTCACCCCTAACATGAAAAAGTAACGTTGTCTCTGCTTCGATAAAAAATACCATACCTCTCAAGAAATATCTCTTCACCGAGTAGGATAGTCTACCTATGATTTGAAAAATTTCGTTTACTCATGAGAAAATGATAAATCACCTGTAACATCATCGAAAAGCAAGTTTCTTCTTCACTATTTCGAAGACATATTCAAATTATTTTTGCAGGTCTCCAGGAAGAAATCTCCAACTTTTTCTAATTAGCTTTGCTATTTTAAGATGCAAACTGCAAACCGTACTGTTATGATTATATTTTTTGTAAATTATCTCTTTTCCGCTGATTCTTCAGAGACCATACTTACTTCTAGCTAGACAAAAGTTTGATGACTAAGTATCTACTGGGGCCACTATTCATGAGACAAAGAATTAAACTGCTAAGATTTCTCGAAAAAGATGTCCAGAGAAAGGGGGGAGGTACCTTTAAGAGTTTTTGACGGGCCAAAGTCCCCTCTCTTATCTATTTGAGAGTTACTGCCATCCCCTACCACTAGTGGGTTTAGATGATCGTTTCATATAATTCTCAAAGACAAATAAGAAGAGTGTCTTAAAGCAATAAGATGCCTTGGACCTCGTCATAGAATTTGTAATTACTTAGCTTTATATGCATAACTATTGGGCGTCATCTTCTAACTGATAAAACATGGCTTTTCAAATGATTACAGATTGCACAGAATCCAGTCTATGCAATGAGAGAGAATTTAATTATTGTAATAATTTCAAGATGCATCCAAAGGTTCCACATCGATTCGTATAAAAATTGTGTTATCTCGAATGTAGTTTCTAGTTCTGAGAGTCTCCAGAGAAACGAACTTAGGGCAACCAAATCCAAGACTCTTAACCTTGTTTGGCCTCTTGAAGTAATCACTGTCCCTGTCGCAAGTAAGCCTCCATACTTTATTTTGCCGTGCACCAACATCGTCATCTTGATCAATGAGGACAAAATCCACCCGCTGCTGAAAAGGCCATGGTAGTATTGCATCATACTCCCCTTTCATAATAACAACATATAGAGAAAGATGTGTTCCTTTTCCTTGTCCCAAGCCATTTAAAAAAGCCTCTGCACGCAGCTTGTAACCATACTGTCCAGTGTAAAATGGCGGACTACACAGTTTCTCCTTTTCTTTCTTGGTTGCTGACTGCTGAAATAATTGCGAGTAGCTAGAAATTTTCCACAGGAACTTTCCGTTTGTGCACACAAACTCCTGTCTTTGTTCAAGTTCTCTTATTCTTAGATGTGCCAGATCTAAGTGAACTTGCATATTGTCTTGCACATGTTTGTCCATCTCATTACGTCGACCCTGAGAACATGTTTACCAGCATATCAATAAGAATATCTTAGCTTAACAAAAATTGTTGAGCAGACTAGTGATTCAAAGCAAACCTGGAGACGAGGAGTCAACCCTCTGAACTACCCACGTTTCCTTATGGTGTGCACATACCATTACATTACAAGACTATAATGATTTTGAGATAGCAAGCTGCTCCTTAAGTTAAATATCAATAAATTAAATAATTATTTTTCTAAATACAATTCATTACTTAATCCCCATGTACTGGCTTCAAACTCTTTCCAACAGGAATTCTGTGCAAAGTCACAACAAAGATGTACCAGTCAGTGCACTAAAGACCTGTTCCACATGCTGAACACACAGTGGTAACATGGAATATCCACAAATGCTCAGGATAGAGTACTACACATCTAAGCTATTTCTTTTTTTTCAAAATCTGCTGGGGAGTATGCCCCATACCCTTCACACCCCCTCCCCCTGGAAAGTTAATGTCCACAGCATCACAATCAATGGCTTTGTGGTTCAAAATCACACACTTTCCCAGAAAATAAACTTAAGAACTCTGTCATACTGTTAAAGCAAAAGTAAATTATATTATGTAAATAAGACTCCAAGACAGATGCTGATATGGTTTTAACACCCCAATGCAATCTCACCTTAAATTTGCATCCAATGTCAGTATACTGACACGGTACAACAGCCAATGGGCAGTCCCCATCTGCATCTACATGGGCTGACATCTGTTGAAAGAAGAAGCAAGCAGAACAAGGCTTAGGGCTAAGCCCTGAAAAAAATTTTCATACCTACAGGGTTGCCATGAACTAACATCCCATCCAACTGGGGAAGTAGCAATATTCATAATTGCTTCATAATAGGGAAACCAGAATAAGCTCCAGCTGGATGAACTTCTTAGCTTGAGTTCAGGCTTTACCTTTTTCACCTTTGCCCACAGGATAGGCAATCATTCAAGGTCAGGCTTTTAATCCAATCAATACACAGAACCTCATTCTTAAAACTTAATTCAAATGATGTCAAAGAGATTCAAGTGTTGCAAATTTATTTCCAGTCATTAATAAACATAACAATGTTGATTTTTTGAAAGTATATTTTGTACTTAGTCTAATACTACTACATATGATTCAATTAAAAATAAAAAAACACCTGGTCTCTTGGTATATCTGTTCTTCCACAGTTGTTGATACACTTTATTGGAACTCGTTTGCAGTTTTCCAGGTGATTCTGAACAGAAAAAAAGAAAAACAAAATCATGATTTAGCAGACAAAACCCCAGGCCTTCAAAACTACTCACCAACTTTATTAAACTACCCTCTGACCCCTGCAAGTGATTCACTTTTAATTTCTCTTTACAATGTCACTCCTGTATCACACATTAAGGTCAGGAGAATAAAGGAAATGATCACCAACAAAAGAAGATCTTGATTGTTAAAAAAATTCTCATTGTAGGCTCCTTTGGAAATGTACAAAGAACAGTATGGAGAATATGCATACTGATGTCAATGTAAAGGGTTCATGAAACTGCTGCTTTGATCAAGAACAGAATTGCAATTAAGGGTGCTTTGGAGTCAAGGTACTGAACTGAAAATACATTTTGAGAATCTTTGAGCATTTCAGAAAACTGAGGAGATTATTAAGTGTCTTATACTTACAGGAAGGTTTATAAGTTCTCCTGTCCAGTCACATTCGTTGCCACTGTTGTAACATTTTACTGTTAATGACAACACTGTTCTTTTACATGCTCTATCAGGGTAAACCTGAAATATGAAATCAAAGTGAGTATATACAACATATTCAAATTGTTGTAAAAGGGGGGCTTTTCAATTAACAGCTTGCTAATAACAGAATGTTGTATGTTGCTGTATATGGAAAAATCCCATCCAATGTTCCCAATATATAAGC